ATGATAAGACTGATTTACCAATGACCTGAATTGGAAGTAAACCACCATTACCAACCATTAATTTACCTGGTCCAAAAAATTCCTTTTGGCTAAGGACCTTGGTCGAGTCAACAGTTGCATGATGCGTGGCCCCAGAGTCCAACACCCAGTGATCACTCGTGCTTGTGGTGATATGGCTCTATGGTTGAGTCGAATAACAAACATGTGCTTCAGCCTTAGCCTTTGTACAACAAACACATTCGTCCACATCAAGATGAGACGATTCCAGGCTAGAACAGTTCACAGATCCCGAACCACCACAGCTTGCAGCACGCTCAGTTGATCGGCCAGTGAACGATTGATCGAACCTATACTAGCAATCAACAACAACAAGGTGGCCGTTTTTGCCACATAACTGACATTGAACCCGTGGTCAACCACGACCTCGTCCTCCAGTTCTGCCACCAGCATTGGTTCCAGATTATCCCAAAGACGATCATGAAATGTGTGACTAGTTTGATCGAACCTATACTAGCAATCAACAACAAGGTGGCCGTTTTTGCCACATAACTGACATTGAACCCGTGGTCAACCACGACCTCGTCCTCCAGTTCTGCCACCAGCATTGGTTCCAGATTATCCCAAAGATCGATCATGAAATGTGTGACTAGTGGTCTTCGAGGTGGAACCAAACTGAGCAAAATGGGCACTCATCGGCAACAACTCCTCCTGAGAGTCGAATCCAGCGAGCTGCGTTTCTGCATCAATCAACATTGAGCATATCTAATCAAGAGACAGAGCCTCTTTCATGGTGGTTATAAACGCTATATAAGGATGATACTCGCGGCGAAGACCTTTTAGAATGCTTGCAACATGCTCGGCTAAGGAATTGCACTATCACAAGAATCTAACGCATCACATACTTCTTTGATACGAGTGAGATACGTTCGCATACTATCACTCCCTTTCTTGAGTGATTGAAGTTAATAATGAAGGCTGATAACCGTTGTGGTTAAGCGATTTGCAAAGAATTACAGGACCTTGCTCCAAACCTCCGCCGCCGTCTCTGCTCCAACAAATTGGGACAGCAAGTGCGGGCTGATCATAGAGAGAAGCCAAGAAACTAGTGCACTGTCTTGTGCAACAAACTCCTCATGCAAATAATTTGCCACCGTATTGCCATTCTCATCTTCGATTGTTGCAGGAGGAGGACGCATGACTCCAGTCAGTAACCGTTCCAGTCGATGACTGCGAGCTGTTAACAGAATCTGTTGTTTTTATTGCAGGAAGTTGGCTTCATCAAGAATGATGTTAACCTTCTTGTTTGTGAAGGTCTTGCCAACAGAAACCTCCATGAGCAAGAGATGAGCACAGCGCGTATAAGGACCTCAAGAGCGTCCGGCGAATGATACCATGTTAAGCAACAATAACTTGCAGCAAAAAAACTAAAATGAGATTGGAAAAGAAATACATATTGTATTGCTTTAACACCTTGATTACAGTTACATTTATAGCTCTCTAATAACAAACTCTAACAGCCTAACAACCTGTAACTAATTTCTAACAACTTCACGTGATGATTAACAAAATCCATCACCATTCCTTAGCATACATGCATGACATGCACGAGTACACTAACTCACATACACTAGCATATCTCAACATTTCGGCATGTTACTTCTCCTTCCCATTCAATAATGCGTAATAATGGGATCTGGAAACGCATTCTGACTCAGGATGGTAGTGTCTTGGCAATGACAGCTGGGTTTGGAACCTCCGAGGAAAATGGTTGAAAACTATGCTTGTAGGGATTGAGCTATAATTAAATATTGATAGATGCTGAAATATTAGATTATTTAAGAAAAATATGAAGTCTAATTAAGTATGTAAACTCGAAATTCATCATAAACCAAGCGACCTTAGTGATTAAGGGATTGTTGTTATCCTTGAGGTCCCAAGTTCAAGTACGTATGTAGGGGTATGAGCGTTCATTGTAAAATAGTTGAAAGTCTTTGTACATATATTATCTTGTATTCACCCTAAATTAAAAAAAAACTCAAAACTCAAAAGACAACTTCTAATTTATCTAATATTTAAACTTACAATGACTTAAATTGTAATTAGACCAAAGATATGAGAACACATACTTATCATTCTTTAGTTCGACCTTACTTGATTAAATATTTAATAAATTTTTATATTTTTTAAATTTAAATATTTATTTTTACATGAATCAAAATACTATTAAATAAAAATTATATCAAATATATAAATTTTAACATGTTGTACCCTTAGGCCCTAAGGAGCTCGTCGCTGAGTTCATGGCAGTTTCAGTGGATTGACAACCATTCTACTCACGTGCTTCAAGTCGTGTTTCCAGCTAAATTCACTTTGGGCTTGGGAGGCAGTTGAACGTTATCTTGCTCCTCTAGGGCCTAATCGATCGCATCCAAATGAGTGTGGGCCGGAATCTTTCTTTCTTTTGGTCAAACCAATGATTTTAATTCTGACATTTGGTGACCTATCCAAGGGTTGGAATCACTATAGTTCGAGGTTTCAACGAATCCAATGGCATAAGATCCAGGAAATGGGAATCAGTGATTGCATTTGATTCAACCAAAATTATCAAAAGTAGTGATGGATGGACTTTTACAATTCTTTTTCAACTACGAGTGGTCAAAAATTACGAGATAAGATAGGACCTGCCTAATTATTACTTGCATTAAAACCGTGTAAAATTTGACAAACATAAACACCAAACAAATTGAATGCGCATTTGAACAAGGAAAAATACGTCTGAAGTTGGCAAACCCTAACGAAAAGATGATTAAATTCTTGAGTTCAGGCATTGACTTCACCATCACCATGCCATCCATCCATCTCAAGTAATTAAACACTTGTTTGAATGAATGTTTATCTGCAAAATATCAGACAAAAAAAGGATGGCCATTTGCGGGCCAACCCAACCCTATTGGCCTAAATTTCATCTGACTTATGACATATCATATCTTAATTAGTGTTAGGGCTGCTTGAATTTCTTTTCTCACCAACAAAACCCATCAACTTTTTGGCCACACTTTAATTCTCATTTATATATCTTTTTCATGCACCCACCCATGACTTCATAATTTAATTCTAGCCATCATGTTTGACTTTATGGATACATGTTGGAACTCTTTTCTCTTTTCATATTTGCATCTTGAATATCACATGTTGAACAAAGAAACTTAAGAAACAACTAATTTGGTTGTTCATTGACCCCTTATATAATAAAACGGTTATTGAAATGGATATCTCCAAAAGGCATTTAATTCCATTTATTTATTTGTTCAACATGAATGAGACATGCTCAAAGTCAATAACACTCTTCTTCCACACGTAACTTTATAATTATGTGTAGGTTTCATCCAAATTTCTTTGATTGCTTTGTTTGTACAATTTAATACGGTAATTCAGTTTATGTACGCAATGCATTATTATGATCAATACTAATTATTTTATTCACACCACAATTTAATACGAAGTTGTAATAGCATAATGCAAAAACATGCATTAAAATATTGGATTGTTTGTACTTGTTGATTTCATTGTCATGTAATATTCCATAAAGCTTAAAGCACACCAATAAATAGAGTTGCACGATTTTTTTAATTGCTTCTCTCGGAAATGGAAAGAAAAGAAAATTAAAAAAAGGAACCATTTTCTTGTAGGAATTGGGGACAGAGAATCCTTACCAAACAAAAGAATCAACAAAGATGCTATGGTTTGTGTTTTTCAAGTTCACTTTTTATTAATGAAAAATGGATATTAATTTAACAGAAGTTAACGTTGTCCTCAGATAATTGAATTTGATGTTGAATGCATGCATGGATATCTCGTGAAATTGAGGTTTATTGTGCATCTAAATTCAATGCCTTTTGGTTAATCTTTTATTCAGAGAGAGAGAGAGAGAAAATCTAGTCTAAACCAAACTCACAACCCAACACTGGGTTTTTCTCATACAACTTGTGGATCCTTCACTTGTCCTAGACCATAAGGAACGAGGAATGGTATTCGGTACTTTATACACCGACTACTACCATTATCTTAAACAAACTTCTCATTTTATCGTATAAAAAAATGACATGATTTTCATTTGGGTTTAGATTTAAGCAATTAGGATATGATATTGATTTATACTTTTTTGGTTTTGCATTAATAATGAACTTGTAGAGCATGAACATGGAAGGCAAAGAAAGAGGAAAAGAGACGAGGTCCAACTTGAGATGGGAGTAGAAAATGTAAATAATATTTAGTTCTAAATAATAATAACAATAAAGCAAAAGTACATAAGAGGTCATGTACCTTTTAAGAAAAAAATAATAGGATCTTCATATTATTTTTCTCTAATATAGTTCTCCAACTCAAAAAAAAATTTAATGTGGTCATTTGAACAATGTTTTTCATCGTTGATCATTATACCGTTAACATGATAATTCGTTGTACTGACGTAATAGCCCACGATACTAATATGTTAGTCAATGGTGGTTGATAACATGGTAGATGACATGATAGATGAGTTAAATTGACAACTTAAACATCACAAATAAACTGTCACATCAGTATTATAGACCACCATATCAACACCGTGAACACCACACCTGCACAGTAACAATCAACGATGGAGAGACGTTGATGAAAAAGATCACGTTTTGCCGGATAATAATATACGAAGGAGAGATGAAGAAAAAGACAATCAATGCTTGGAGATTGGACAATACATGAGAGTTCAGCAGCAAACGGTATGTATTGCAGATAATAAATGTTTGTTTTTAACACGCAAGACAGAGAATGGCAAAGGGGGGCTGAATCAAACTAATGACACGCCCCCACACTCGTGAACCCACAAGTCAACTTGCTCACTCGGCCGGGTCCCACCTCAGCCCACAACTTCCACAATGATCTCCGCTCCTCCAAATACGAGCTCTGCTATATATATACAAACTCATGCCAGCTCCCTTCTTGTCCAAACAAAACAAACCTTACAATTCCAAAAGAGAAAGAAAGGAAAACAAAAAATGAATGGAAGCTCAGGCAGCATAGACGAAAGTGATTCCCTAAACGTTTCCATTTCACCTTCGTCTCCCGACTCTCGCTGCCGCCTTGGAAATGGAAGTGGAACCAGCAGCGTGGTTTTGGATTCTGAAGCTGAATCAAGAAAGCTCCCGTATTCCAAGTACAAAGGCGTTGTTCATCAACCCAACGGCCGATGGGGTGCTCAGATATACGAGAAACACCAGCGCGTCTGGCTTGGAACTTTCAATGAACAACAGGAGGCTGCCAAAGCCTATGACATAGCTGCTCAAAGGTTTCGGGGTCTTGATGCCGTCACCAACCTCCATAAATTTGAGGAAGATGACATGGAAATGGCCTTCCTCAATTCACATTCCAAGGCTGAAATTGTTGACATGTTGCGAAAGCATACCTACAATGATGAACTAGAGCAGAATTGGAGAAGCTATAGCTCCCATGGGAATGGCAAACCAAAGGATGCGGGAGTTGGTTCCTTTTCCTTTGGCCTTGAGCTCAAGGTCCGTGAACAGCTTTTCGAAAAAGCTGTGACACCAAGCGACGTTGGAAAGCTGAACCGACTCGTAATACCAAAGCAGCATGCCCAGAAATACTTCCCTTTGGAAACTGGGAATGCTTCCAAAGAAATTCTCTTGCACTTCCAAGATGTGACTGGCAAAGTTTGGAGGTTTAGGTATTCATATTGGAACAGCAGCCAAAGTTATGTGTTTACAAAAGGGTGGAGCCGCTTTGTTAAGGAGAAGAATCTTAACGCCGGCGATATTGTTAGTTTTCAGAGATCGACGGGGACGGATAAACAGCTTTACATTGACTGGAAGGCAAGAACAGGCTTGGTTTCGAGTTCGGCTGGACCAGTTGAAATGTTCAGGCTATTTGGGGTCAACATAATTAAGATACCTAGTGGCAGTGCAAGTGTTTGTCTCGGTGGATGTAATGGGAAAAGGACTAGAGAAATGGAGGTGTTCGAATTAGAGTTCAACAAGAAACAAAGGGTGATTAATGCTTTGTAACATTACCTAATTTTCTCTTTAAATTTTGTTAATGTTAAGAGGATGCAGGAAAGGAAAGAAATGGAGTGCAGGAAAGGAAAGAAATGGGGTGCAGTTGCCACTAGCAAGTTGTAAAAGTTGAATTGTATATTACAAGACAAAAGGCTGAACCTAGGAGCAATATATTTCTTCCAAAGAAAATGAAATCGATAACTTACTTCTGTTCATATCATTTTTTTAATGTTGATTATATATATTGTTGGAAAATGAGTGAATTTTATTGTTGAGTTTAATATTTAAATTAAATTCATATATCTTTTAAATATTATAAATTAAAAAATAATTTTAATTTGAATATTAGTTGAATAATTATTCTTTGAATATGTCAAATTAAAATATATTTGTTGCCTATTTTACTTTAAATATTAAAGATAATTATATCCTTTTGAATATTTCAAATTAAGATAATATCTATTTAAGTTTGAAAAGTAAAATGTGACTTTATCTTTTGAATATTTTAAATTAAAATATATTATTATATGTTTAATTTTGAATATTAAAAGATATCTAGTTGGATTGAATCTCTCTTAAAAATCCACTATAAATACTGAGTTAATCTGCTAGGTTAAACACAAATTTCAGAACAAGTTTTTTATATCTCAGAATTCAAGAACTTCATAAATCTTGGAAAAAATTCTTTTTCTCTCCTTAGTTTTCCGGTGATAGACAAAGTCAAGAAGTAGTTCGTGATCTCGAAAGTTGTACTATTGTTTGAAGATCATCTAGTTATTGTATCCTGAGAGATAGATGACCAACGATCTCAAGCACTAAAGGAGTGACCGAAAATATGTCTTAAAAAATTGTGTAGCGACAGACTTTAACTGTTTCCGATCAAAATATCAATTATGAAAAGAGTATTTTTCTTTCAAGTTATTTTTATTTATTTTTTAAGAAGTTTAATATGGTTTGTTTTATCTTCTCAAGTGTGATTAGGGTATCGGATCGTTATAATTCTTACAATCCTAAGACAAGTAAACTTATTATTTATAATTAATTTTTATAATGATATTTGATATTATATATCATTATTTTATTCTGTATATTTTTCTCAGCTTTAACGACTTTTGTCCAACATATATTGCAGAAATACTCTATAGCAATATAGAGTATATACATATATCTGAAAAACTTTTGTCGTTTTTAATAGAAAAAATGTCAAAACACATATCCAGTTCATAATAAATTAAAACATGCATCCATGATGCATGCATGCAAATGAAGATACATATATTTATAATTTGATGAGTTGTAGGTGGAAACATATATCTTTATAAGAACAATCATGCATGCAAATGAAGTTGGAACGATTGGTACGATCGAAAGAGGTTCCATTATTGACTAGGTCAGTACGTTGTACTTGGGAACATGACTTGGAATGAAATTCATGAACCTCTTCCATCAACTTCAGTCGTGCGTATCTGGATTCAGCCGATAACAATTGTGCAAGTCCATAACATCGCTGGCCATTTTGTCCGTTTTCTGGTAGCGGCCTAGCCCATCCATCAATAATAAATATATATCATAACACAGTTTGTAAGTAGAATTGTGTGCACACGGGACTTCAAAAGTAATGGGCCAAGAAACCCTGAGAAAAGGGAGATCACAATCCAGTACTTGGTTTCTTTGAACAATGAAGGATTCAACCCAATCCTTTTCATCGGCAAATATGAGAATTAGAGCAGTAAATAATTTACAGTAGGAATCTGATGAAATGGTTTTGTAGCAGGAATAATGGTGTCACTCTCTAATGTATCTGATCCTAGTTGATGGCGTGGGAGGGGACTTCATGTGATTTGATGCCTCTCCAAATTTCAAAGTAGAAACCAAAAGTATAAAGCTCAACTCTATCTTCAATTCTTTTGACATATTAGGCTTCTGCTTTTTAGCTAGCAGCCACGCAGATATACCCAAAATATGTTGTCCCTAGTTTCACCACTTACATCTGGAAAATTAACTATATTTAGTAGAGCTGGGTAAAATAAATTTAACTCCAAGTTGCTGCAGAAACCTGCTGCCTTTTGCTTGATTGATATTACATGAGGATGCTACAAACACACTTCCCTTTTCTTCTCCTCATTATTTATTTTTTTTGCCAATAAGTTTGTAGTCATGGTCGAATTTTGAGTAGTTATAATAATTATGTATGATAAAAAAATTATATAGAATTTTAATATTTAAACGATCTCAAAAAAAAAGAGTTCTCACTCTCTCACCACAAATTCAGTTTGAAATTTTAGTGAAGATCTTTCAAATCCATATATATATATATATATATATATATATATATATATATATATATATATATAAATCTGCCCCTATAAAATTGGGTCATACATAGGAAGAGGAAGTGGTAAATTTGAAGTTAGTTTCGACATTCCTACCAACTATAAACAATAATGGGTCAATTCAATTGACTAACTTGTCAACAACCAACCTATTACATTATTAGATGTCTATGCATGCATGCCATAAAGCAACAAATATATACGATCAACCCCTTCTTCTTTGGGGGATGCCTCGCAATGCATTCATATTTATGCTTGCATTTAAATATATACATGGATTATAAAATTATTATTTTAGGAAAGAATGGTTAATAAATGATAAAATATATCTAAAATTTGACATAGACAATATTTCCTTATATATCTATAAAGGGTGTTGAAAAAGATAGATAATAAATGGAGGGGCGAGGTAAGTGGGTATGTGGATGAGTGATTTTTGAAGCTGTTACTGTCGATCTTGGATCTTACACTTCACTACTTGAGCGAGCACCTATATACGTCATATCGCAGTATCACAAAATATTCAAATTCACATGCAGAATAGGACTATTTATAGTATTATATACGGATGTTCCTTGCTTTTGGTATTAATCTTTTTCATTATATATGATATTAATATCGGGATTGCAGCACTCGAAGGAAACCCCAATACCAAATATTACAATGATATCCATGCATGCTTGGCCAGATATATGTCTTTTATCACTTTCAAGTTTCAAGACAAAAACCAAGGATTTTTTTTCAAAGACTAAAGTGATAAAAAGGTATTAAAAATAGAATAAAAAAAGCGATGGCTGGCTGTTGATGGAGATGAACTGAAGCAAATTATATAGTGCAACGTGAAACATTATATATATGAAAATGAAATAATGTCTGAATCAAGAGGGTGAAAAGGGGGGAAAAAAGGGAAAAGCACCTCTTTGGGTGAAACCCCCAGAACAGCAAGTACAAACAAAACAAAAGGCGGAGTGGTCCCTCCGGCTAACTCAATGTCCCAATCAAAACATTGGCGAGTCTTACAAAAGGTGTTGGACCAAAGTGTTAGTAAGAAGCTGGATGAGTCTGATCAAAACAATGACTCACTCTCACTCTCTTACATGTGATGTGCAGTGTCACTGAGTCAGAGTTAAAACCATTTAAACATGAAAAAAAAAGAGACTCAGTCCGCGATTTCTATGGCAAAGTTTTGCAAACGCATCAACAGTAAACTCTGCGACTCCACTGCTACTTTGTCTCCCTCTCTCTCTTCTCTTTTTTGCAACTGCACTCCCAATTTACTTTACTATCTTCCATATTTAATAATACTACATGCTCCTCATCTCTCTCTCTTATGAATATATATCAGTGAAATTACAATCACATACTACTATAAGAATTTTTCCAAATAACCAACCGTGTTTAGGGTTTTTCATTTTTCTACTGTATTAATCAATCGTCATTAGTCAAGATAAGTTGATTTAAGTTGTTAAACTCCACTAGAATAATCAATTATCAGTAGAAAAGAGGACGCTCAGTCCCCTCATCTTCTACTTCAACCTCACAGTACGGGTCCATCTCCCAAGGCTCGAACATGGTCTTCCATGAAACCTTTTGTGCTTGAAACCAGACCCTAAAGCAATTCTTCTCGTTTGTCCTCCAAACTCTTCTAGCCTCTAACTGCAATGGGCTTACCGCATTTTCGACGCTCAAACGACTTTCCTCCGTGCTTCCATTTATAATGTATCTGCAAAGTTCTAAAATCCTTCAAAGGCCCTAGCCCTAGACCTTGTGTGTTTTTTATTGTTTTTTCAACCCTCAACACAACAGTAGTAGTTTCCTCTAAAACAAAAATATAATATTAGTCAATGGTATCCGCATATTATTTATTGTTTCATTTATAAAAAAGGCTTAATGTAAAAATAGGTGTTCAAATTATAACTAAAATTAATTTTTGATGTCTAAATTTTTTTCATTAAAAATAGAGACCTAATGTTTTCTCTGTTACGCTTTTAAGGATCTATCGTTAAAAAACCGTCAAGAGACATGTGTCACATTTATATTTTTTTGGTTTTTTTAAAAAATAACATATAATTTGAAAACATTTTTTTAAAAATCTAAACATGACATGTGTCACTTAACAATTTTTTAACAGTAGATACTTAAAAGTGCAACGTAGAAAACGTTACATATGTCGAGTTTGACATGTTATTTGTGGGGTTTGTATACACTTTTTTATGGACTCTGTTGTTACTGATATTAGTTAGTTGCAATTTTAAATGGTTGTGATTCTATTTTTAGCATATTGTTGTTTTTTCTTGCTTATTTAAAGTTTTGCTTGATGAATAATACTGCACAAAAAATCACATCTTTGAGTTCAGTGTTCTTTTATCAGTGTTGTTAATTTCTTTTCATTTTAACAATGGTATTGAGCCAGTTCATAGCATATGATGGAAGCAGAAAACTTCGTCTGGTCTGTTATTCCTTGTTATGATGGTTACTATGACCATTGGAGCATGCTAATGGAGAACTTCTTGAGGTCTAAAAAGTATTGGCATGTTGTTGAATCTGGAATGAAAAAATTGAAGCAAGGTGTTGCAATGATAGATACACAGAAAGCATAATTTGAAAACATTAAAGTTGAAGGATCTCAAAGCCAATAACTACCTCTTCCAAGCCATCGATCGAGCCACTTTGGAGACGATTATTTACAAAGACACGTCCAAACAGATCTGGGACTCGATGAAGAGAAAGCATCAAGGGAACAATTAATTTTGTAGATGTCATAGGTATGTTCATTACAAATCAGAGTGTAGAACTAATTTTAACATAATCATGGTGCAAAATCAAATTTTGTAGGAAAACAAAAGGAAGAAGAAATTTCTCTCTTGATGACATGTCATGTGAAGGAAGACATTCACCAGAATTTATGGTATTTAAACACAGGCTGCACCAATCATGTGTGTAGAGATAAGATAACATCCCGAAGCACTGTTTCATTTAGAGACAATTATTCTAAAGTTTTTGTCTTGGGGTAAAGACAATGTGAAGATTCATGTAATCCCCTATATTCAGCTTGGACGTTACGACTAAACCCAGGTTCAAAAGTATTGGGGTAAGGGGAGGTAAGATAATAAGTTACCCCCAACACCAGGTTGAGAGCAACTTCCGTAGAAGACCTCCGAATTATGAAATGCCCTCCGTGGGACTCGATCCCACGACCTCAAGGTTAAGAACATTGTGCTCTACCAACTGAGCTGGATGGTCATATAAAAAAATCAAATAAATGAATTATAACATCGGAAACATATAAATCATAAAGTCCCAAAATCCCATAATATATATGTATATATAAATCAACAGATAATAAATAACATAGAGTTTGAAAGAAAAAAAACGTCCATACTATGTCTGAAAGAAAACGGCTACTAACGATCCTCCAAGTTCCGGTCGTAGTCCTAAATGTCTGAGTAATTTGAAATGAAAGCCAGTGTGCCCTCTAAAGTAAAGCATATATTGAAGTATATCTAAAATAGTACAAATCAAATGTAACAATATTTAATCATCAGAATGCATCACTAATAGCACACTACTTTACTTATCATCACGAATAAACATAATAGGGTCGTTCTATCACTCTATGAGATATTTACTTGTATCTCAAGACGAACGAGCGGAATCTAACTAAGCTGAGCGAGGGTGGTCAGGATCTATCGGAGAACGATGTGAAGAAATGTGATCACCTTCAGAAAATAACATCAAAAAGTGAGTTCAAAATATCATAATTTACTTAACACAATTATGACTTTAAATGATAAATGACATAAAACAAGGCTTTTGGATAAGAATTTGGCAAAATAGACTCAAGACATCGAAAAATATAATAATAGGTGTGTTTGGAAAAATTCAACTGGTCAAAGTCAATGTCAACGGGTAGGTTAATGAGTTAGGTCAGTCAAAGTGTTGGATAACTGGTCCAGCTGATTCGGTCCAAAGATAATCACTTTAGTTGTTTTAAATCACCAGGATATTCCCACGTGCACACGACGATGCGTAAGGGTACGTGGGACGTTTTTCGGTGGTGTTTTCTTACGAAAATTTCTAGAAAAATATTTTGATGCATGAGGAATAACTTATCGCGGTCGGTTCGCGGCAGGAAGCGACATAATTGGATTTCTTTGAAAACTCGAAATTAAACTCTCCCATCCGAAGCTAACGACAATGACAAACGACAAACGACAAACCGAGGGTACTGGGAGAATGACAACAACGAGATGGACACAGTGACACCGACGGTTAGAGTCACGATGGCTAGAACGGTAACCAATCAACCAAAGAATAAAATAAAACAAAAAGGGAGAAAAATTGTTTGAGGTTGACTGCACGAATATGAGAATGAAGGGAAAAGAATAATGATTTAAACTCCCAAACTTTTAGGTAAGCTACGGAAATAGTCCTCGCATTATTGAGAAATTTTATATATGCAAAACAGTTCAAAAGTGCTTCAATTAGGCCCAAAATTGAGATGTTGCAATTCACACCAAGGAGAATACTACTCAGGATATTTCCAATGTTTTCTTTCTTTTTTTATCATTTGAAAATGAATTTGTTTAGTGTTCAACTTCAAGAGAATGGATATGAGATCTTTATTAAAGATGGAGTTTTTTGCATTCAAGATGAAAATTTGGAATTAATTGCTCAAATAAATAAAATTGATCAATAAAATTGACACAAGTTGTAAAGAAGAAAAAAAAAGAGAAAAGAGAAGAGAAGGAAGAAAACAACTAATTCTATACAGTAAACATACTTAATATTATCTGTATACATATATTGTATACAATAGTTACTACAAATTTATAATCAAGGATGAATTAGGAAAGTAATTCTCTTTAAAATTTTAAATTATCATATATTTTAGATAATTTTGTATATTTTATTGATAAATATATTTGTACTCTTATAATTTTATAAATCTATCCCTCTTAAAATTTCAGAATTTCACACCCTTATATAAAATCATGTTTCTGACCCAATTTATAACGTATGTATTCAATGTCAAATACACTAAGTTTCTGCATCATACGTAATTAATATTAAATTTTAAATAATTATATATATATCGATTAATATGAATATATATATTTTCAATATTATTTATACTAAATCCGTGCATCACACTAAATACATATCTAATTATCTACATTTATTCTTCTTCCTCCTTATGAAATATTGTTTTTAATATATAATTGCAAGCATCGAAGTCATTTATAACTTACCATCCATTAGAACTGTTAGGTATAAAATGAGCCACCTATTCCAAATTTCCAACATTAAATGTATAGAAATTTTTTTTTGGCCGTGACTACATTTATCGATTGTCATCATCCTAACCTCGTTCCATGTCATCTATAGATAGAAATATTTACTAATCATGATTAAGCTCTACCGGAATAATCCTTTAATAGAAGAAAAGAGGGTTATGACTCCCCTCATCATTGTCATCATCATTATCATCGTCCTCCTCCTCATCTTCTACTTCAACCTCACAGTACTCAACAGAATGCGGTGCGTGGCCATCTCCGAAGGCACGAACATGGTCTGTGAGGGATCTTTTGTGTTTGAAATCTGACCCGCAAATGCAAAACCAGAGCTTCCCGCAGTTCTTCTCGTGTGTTCTCCAATCCCCTCTAACTGCAAAGGGCTTACCACATTTTCGGCACTCAAAAGGCTTTGCTCCGTGCTTTCGCTTGTAATGTGTCTGCAAAGTTCTGAAATCCTTTAACGGTCTAGATCTTGGGTGCTCTATATTGTTTTTGCAACCCTCAGCACAGCAGTAGCAAGGAAGTCTCAGCATAGACGAAGCTGGTTTTGTTCCTCTTAAGGACTCCGGGCCTTTTCGATACTGAGATCCATGCCCCCACATATGCATCTGTAAATAAAAATTTAAGAAGAAAAAAGTGGACAAAGCTTGTTTACAAAGAAAGTCCTTGGTGTCATGTCATAGAATAATATAAATGATGATTATGGTTTGTCATACGATATATAATTACTAATTAGTATGGAACCTGCATGTTGTTGTATCTATTGAAGGTTTTGTTGCAGACACTGCAAGAGAACTGAGTGGGACCAACAAGGATCTGCGCGGGAGAAGGAATCCAGTACTTTTCTTCAACAAGACTGTTAGTGTTACCAATGTAATTAGAGTTGCTAGAGCTGGTGTCAAGTGTTGGTGGCCCAATGTGAAGGGCAAATGTGACACCACTTTCATGATGAGCACTCGTAGGGTTTGGACAGTTGGGGACCTTGCTTGAAGGATATGACAAAGGGTATTTGGGCATGCATGGGGCTTGTCCAGGAGGACCAAGAGATAAGGTTATGGAATCATCATCTTCTAGATTATCAGCATCATGGCAGGAACTTTCTCTGGGGGATATATTATTGTAGGTGAAGGTAGGAGATTGCATGCTGATGATTGTGGTAATTTACTGCTACACGAGAAAACTAAGAGATTTTGGTCTTCCGGAGAAGAAAGTTTAGCGGGGACGAGAAAGCTATGAATAAAGCATTAAAGCCTAGATAGATATAAATATAGTATTATGGAACAAGAAAAAGCTGGATTAAGCTGCTATAAACACTTTGTAGAGCAAGACTCACTACATGCTTCCTCATTAGAAGTCGACGTTAGTGAGAAATAGAGTAGGTAGATGGGGGGTTATAAAGATAGAATGGTTTTGGCGTGTTTGGGAGACAAGGAACCGGCAAAGAAGGAGAGGGTGGGAGAAAAGATGGATGCATAGAATAGCGTACCAATCCAACAGTCACTAACACTCCTTTCGCTCTCACTGCAGCAAAGCTAAAATGCTCGATTATCGAGCTCCTAATCGATAACTCTTTCTCACCTCTGCCTACATTTACTCTCTCTCTCTCTCTCTTTCTCAGCCAAAAAGTGAGACATGTACATCAAGCAGCAGATAAGAAATGAAGTAATTTTAAATGGAAGGCGTGAGTAACTTTCTCCCCCACATTTGTTATTTAAAGAGATTATGACAGTGATAAAGGCCTTTTGGTATTTCTGCTGTGCTGTGTGGAGCTAATTCATACTGGAGAGACTCCTCAGTGCCACTACTTTGCAGAAAAGCAATGAATATATAATGCATTTTGAACGTAACAAAAATAACTACACAGAAAAAAGAGGCTACTCTTCCTTATCACTCCTATATTATGTCATCAGCTCAGATTGCAATATTAAGTCTGATGAGCTTACTGCCATAGTGGCATCGTCATTGGCATTCCTCTAACAGCAAACTTGCTGAAGCCCTTATGTAGTTATGTTTTCTATATATTAAAAAGAAATATAATAAATTTGGTGCAAAACTAGAAGAGAGAGTGTGCCCAAGTGCCTTTGCAATACTTACATGCATGTCTTTTAAGGCATAGAAACGTGAAGATTCTTCGCTGTAGAGGAGAAAGTGAGGGGGAAAACTTTAACGATTCTGTCTTCACCCATTCCAATTCAATGAGAGAAACAGCTGGTTTTTTCACATTCAACCCTTGCTTTTTCACCATTAATTGATCTGTCCAATTGTTTGTTCCTTGGATTGGAAAGAACATTCCCGCCAGGTAGTTCTGTTATACGACAGTCTAATATAAAGTTAAGGAAATATATTACTGGAAATGTTAATATTTTTAACATTTCCGATACAACACTACTTCAAATGTTATTTTTTATACCAGAAATATTAATTTATCTACCTAAAATAAATATTTCCGATATTAATATTTATGGTAAAAAAAAAATAAATTTTTTTTGTAGCTTCTCGATATTATATTTTTAATAAAAAAATAATATTTTAGATAACATTCTATATACATTCCATCGCGGCCCTTCCATCTTAAGCCTCTCTTCAGCCTTTTAACGGTATCCAATCTTGTATCGTCCCGTCCCATCAAATATATATATATGCCACTTCAGCAAAATATATCTATGTATTATTCCCTACTGGAGAAGTTGTGCTACTATAGTCCACGAAGACCAAATAACTTGGTTGAATGACCATATAACCTACTTATTATGTTTAGCCTGGGACTTAATTCGGATGGCCTTAAGACACGCAAACCCCAACTGGGTGCTCCTGACTCATGTTGCTTAATCAGGCAAGGAATCCTATTCTAATTCTTCAAACAAAGCTCACCCTTTCTGTTTGAAAAATGAAAGCCGAAAATCTACCAAATGGAGTCAACCTTTTTCTATTAATGCAATTAGCACCTTCACATCTCCAACTCCAACTACATTAAGTAATTCGTAGCACTTAGAAAATGAACAGTAATGGAGAAGCAAGGAGATTCCAAAATATGCTAACAAGTTTACATGGTATAAGAAAATGAAATGACTAACTAGATTGTTTTAGATGAAGTTTGGTGGAAAAAATGCCGATAGATGCCCAGCATTTGCTAAATCATCGATCGTCTAGAAAACAACTAAATGACAAGTGATATTGATTTCTCTACTTTCTATTGTATTGAGAGTATATACATGCAAATGGCAAATGCTAGAACGGAAGCACAAAGAAGATAGCGGGATACAACGTCGGAAGAAAATTTTGATAGAAAATCAACAGTCAGTCATGGGCTAGTTCATGCCGGTATATATTATCTTTGTTATAAAAAAATGGTGAATTATGTTTAGTATTTAAATTTTAAACAATATTATTATCTATTTAATATTTATATTAAATTCAGGAATAAATATATGTTTAGTATTTAAATTTTAAACAATATTATTATCTATTTAAGTTTAGATATTAAAAGAGTTTTGGTTGGAGTAAAACACTCAGGTTTAATATTATAAATTTAAAAGATATTTTAATTTGTTTAAATTTAGATATTAAAAGAGTTTTAATTATAGTAAAACTCTCAGATTTAATATTTTATATTTAAAATATATTATTATCTATTTTAAGATGTTATAAAAGAGTTTTAGTTAGAATAAAACTCTCTCGAAATTCCTCTATACATACTGAGCATCCTCTCAGTTTTTCATATCTCATAATTCAAGAAGTGTTCTTCACTTAAAAAATATTTTCTCTCATTCTTAGAAAATATTCTTCTTCTCCCTTAGTTTTTCGGTGATAGTCAAAGGCAAGGAAAGTTTGTGATCTCTATTGTTGTGCTACTGTAGTCGATCATTAAGTTGTATCTTTGGAGACAGACGACCAAAAGATCTCGAGCACTAAGGAGTGGCCGAAAATTTGTCTTAAGGAAACTGTGTAGCGACAGATCTCAACTGATTCCATCAGAAGATCAAATATAAAAGAGTATTTTTTTATTTCCTTTTTAATTCTCTTTTATTCTAAAGAATTTTATTTCTTTCTTTTACTTTTTCTCAGGTTTCATTTTGTCCCGGATTACTACTTTAGTTAGCACACTTAAAACATTTTTTCTCATCTTCTATCTTTCTTGATATGATATAATTCGGAATTGTAAGAAAAACGAGATAGTAAATAAATTTGTTTTGAGATTTATTCTACCGTCTTAACGGGTTTACTAGAATCTCAAGTGGACAAATCCGTGTAATAGAAATTGTCGTAAAAGTAACCACATTTATTGATTTTGTTTCAAAATATTGATTTTGACCGATAACAAAATCTAAAATAAACGAGAATCAATTTTCTGTTTATTGCAATCTTTGATTTTTTATTTAAAATCAATTGAGATTTTAATTCTGTCACATAACAGAATTATAAGATTTTTATTAATAGAAATCGTGGCAAGCAACGACTCTATTATTGGTGTCACACTCTCAATCAGTATTCGACCCGGATACGGGTCCGAGGTGTCACATTGACCTTTCAAAGTACATATATTTATAAAACCATAGTAAATTAAAAACTTTTATTAGCACAAAACTATAGTTACATTACTAAGTTCAAAACATTACCCCTCAATACATACTATATGACTCTATTTACATGTCAACACATATATATTACATAAACGGACATACTGTGTAATGTTCTTCTGATCTGATCTTCAAATGATGATATACTGCTCCTAAGACCGATCTTCTTACTTTTCTGTACCTACATGTAAATCACTTACATACTAAGTCATGGACTTAATGAGGCATAAACTAGTAATAATGCATCTCTTATGAATATGAAAATGCAACATAGTAATAAAAATTCCGTATCATTTCATATAATTCATTATAAGCAATACTAATACTATAACAGATAAGGCAATACACACTTTTCATATGATTTATAGGCCCATGTATATACTGAGAACTTAAGGTATTCGAGTACATAGAGGTTGTGCACATCTGTTGTCACCACAGCTCGTATAAGTCCCACTGAGTGGCATATGAGATTTGTCCCTAAGGACCTGTGAATATGTCCTGAATGACCTATGAAACCCTCAACTATTGGCATGTCAATTATACCTAAAGCTCTCATCACACTACATGGGTATTATTATTATTATTCATATGTTCATATATTCATATCCTTTCTCATGTATTCACATATGTCTTTTCTTTTATCACATAACACATGTACGTATAATTATCTATCTTGTATCATATAACATGTGTACTTTCATCTATTCATATGAATCATATAACATTTAACAATTACTATGAACATATATGTACAACATATATAACTTATGCATATACTTATAATAGCCATCATGTATGCATATTCATAATAATTATGCTATAACTATTAATCATAGGAATAAACTTATCACAAGTCATAATTCCTTTGAATTACATCTCTAGTATGCACTCACCTTAGCCTTGTTTCCTTTGAATCGATCCTAGTCCTTCGATTGTTTCGGAACGGGATTACGTTTAGTATCTACATAACATACATGGATCCATATCAGTATTTTAATTGATATTCTCTAATTGTTCATTCCTTAGACTAAAAGAAAGGTTGGTTTCATCTTTTATTTGAGGTAGGTATCGATACACTCTATAGTGTATCGATACATTCCTTAACATGTGTATCGATACACTACTTATGTATCGATACACAAATTGCATTCGATGTTTTTATTTACAAGGAGTGTATCGATACACTTTCTATGTATCAATACACAAATTGCATTCAATGTTTTCATTTTAAGGAGTGTATCGATACACTTCCTGTGTATCGATACACTTCCTGTGTATCGATACACTTCCTGTGTATCGATACACTTTGAATATTTTTTGTAAATTTACCCTTGATGTATCGATACATGTTGAATATGTATCGATACACACTAGCCCATAATTCACATTTTATGCATGAAGTTACTCAACTTAGCTAAAAAAAACTTCATATTTCATCCCCATATTCCTAACTCACCTTCATAACCTTAAATCCATTACTACTCATTTATCACCTCTTAAACCTCAAAATCCTATCATCCATATGAAATTCAAGAATTACACCAACTTTGCAACATGTTATAATTTCAATTCTAACGCCTCATACATGTAATTAGGTTGATGACAAGTCAAATTCAATCCCAAACTTCATTAGAGAACCTTCTTCCAAGATTTCACTTATTCCCCTCTTTTC